GTACTAGTATTAATCTTGCTATGCGTATGATGTTAGTACTCGTAGGAATATTACTGTTACTATAGACAATTAATACCAGTCTCAATACCAAAGGAAAGTACTCAGACCAATGTTAAAAGCTAACGGCGGCGAACAGGTTTTAATCAGCAGGGTCGCTTGCCAGGAACACACTGTATGCGCGCCGCGGTCTGTCAACCGGGGGGGGGGGTGAGCATATATATATATATATATACTTATATTTATTGATTAATTTCTATTTATTTTTATTTATTTATTTATTTTATTCATTTACTTATTAATATAGCCCTAGACTGTAAACCCATCAGCCGACCAAGCTTGCTTCCACAAGAAGAAGCGATCGCTTGTCTTACAGCACTGCTGTCGCACAGCGAGGTCATCTGCAGGGAGCCGTGCAGAGATACGTTGCGTTCTGATGTCGGGAATCTTCAGTGAAAGCTTCGGCCTCACGGCCCATGTGTTTGCAAGCGGTTTATAAGACTTTGGGGTGTCTTGGCAAAGTGATCGACTCCCTGCAGATGAAGAAGGAACTGCAGTCTGACTTTATTTAGCCCTTGATCTGGGCGCCGCTCTACGCAGGGTAGGAGTGGAGCAACGGTAGTGCCAATGAGTGTATGTCAGCAGAAAGGAATACAGACTGCAGCTCACCCGGGCACACTTGGAGGATCATGGGACTTAGTAACTAGGGTTATAAATAAGGTAACTATGATTATAACCCCAATTTGGGTACTTATAACCTTACTCACCAAGTCCCATGATCCTCCAAGGAAGCAGATCCGATGTACTCCGGCTCACTGCCGTTGCAGGACAGAGCGGAGTTTGTCGTGGGCCAAACCGGGCCGGTGCAAAAAAGCGAGCACTTCTTGCAAGGTCGCGCCGCTCTCGTAAGCAATGGAGGGAACTTGCAACCATCCCGGTTTGAATTGTGATTTGGCCTTGAAATCTACCAGGAAATTCTCAACAAAGAGGGGCGCTGCGTCGAAACCTCTCTCGGCCTCCAGCCGGTCACCCGGTTGCGTCTACCGAAGGCTGCGAAGTACTCACCACGCAAAATCTGGGCATGCCTCAAAGGAAAGGTTCCCGATTTTGTTTTCGACGACATGATCCATCCCAGAACAAACTAAGCTTGCTCTGGCGACTCGAAAGCGGGAACCCCACTCTCTGAGAACAACCCGTTAAACAGGACCGGGCAGAGTCCCTGGCACTCCTCCATAGAGAAAGTTGAAGAGAACGCTCAATCTGTGCTGCGACTCAGAATTACTCTGAATGCGGGCTTGTTTGGCCGATGATGGAGCAGAGTGCTAGCGCATCAGAAACTCATTGCAAAAATGCGGCGAGCCGGTCCACCTGTGCCTCAGAACAAGGGGTACGGCCTCCTCCTCAGAACTCCTCGGAGAGCACCTCTCGCTTTTCTTCCGCATCGACACCAGTTGGTTCTTCAGGGGGCTGCTCTGCCGGTGCCTCCACCAAAGAGCTCTTGGGCGTGCCTCCGGGCGGGAAGCACTCAGAAGCCCTGGATCCTCTCTCCTCCACCTTAATGATTCGGCGTTCGAGCTCCTTCGAGGCACGTTCCTCGATGATGCTGAACTCTTGGCGGAGAAGGTTCTGATTCTGCTCAGGGCTGACAGCCCACGCCAAAATCTTGTAGAGAGGTGCCAAGGCGTCAGCCAGCTCCGTGAATGAATATCCTGGGACGATCTGGCTCACTACTGGCAGATCCGCAGGCTGCAGCACAGAACCGCTGCGGAGGAGATGAAAGTACTCCTCGTCTGGCTTCCAGAAGGACTCCTGGCTCAGCACCGTGAGGGCGCCGAGGCCTGCACGCCTGATGCTGGCTGCTGCACCCAAGGCAACAGGATCAAAGGGCAACCCCTTTGACATCAAAACCACAGCCACGGCCTTGTTCGGCATCGGGAGGACGTCCCCGAAGTCCATTGCTGCAGAGGGGTCTTGCAGCTTGAAGGATCCATCTTTGGAGCGCTGCATCATTTCTCTGCCAGGGCAGAAAAGGCGAGGGTTCCAGCGTCGCTGCCGGAAGAGATGCCTGAGAAGGAAAGCGACGCTGCACTGAGCATCATCGCGCGTGTTGAATACGATGAAGACCAACTTCTCCGGATCCACAGGCACCACCTTCGGCTTCTTCATCCAAGCAGCAAGCTCCTGTCCAGCGGCTGCCAGTGTCGAGTCAAGCTGCATCTGCTCCAAGGGGATCGAGAGCTGAAAGCGCGTCCTGGGGAGTGTTGCCAGGTATCGATATGCCTTGCCCAGGTCCTCCACAGTAATCCCACTCTTGGCAAAGATGCCGATATCTGCAGAGCTAAAAGACTTTGTCACGTCGGTGATAAACTCGTCAGAGAGCTCGACTGCGTCCAGATTGATGTCCACAACGCCCAGTGGCACCTTGTTGAGGAAGGCAGTACCGATCTCCACGGCACACCAAGGCCTTCGAAGAACGTCGCTCGTCAGCATCACCAACAGCTTGCGCGTGTGCTTCACAGCGAAGCTGAGGTTGTCCAAGTTGTCGAGCTCATCGACATCCAGGAAGACGTTCAGAGTGGAGCACATGTTGAACAGCGTCTTCAGGTGCCTGGCAGACAGCGCCGCAGCAGCCTTATGGTGCGTCAGGAAGACGTCGTAGTGCGTCTTGCTGCGCATGTGGAGGACAATCTTGATGGACGCCATCGCAAACAGCAGCAGGACAACGCAGACAAAGATGGTGATGATACACCATCCCACCAGGGCACGGTCAATGGAATCGTCAGCCAGCAGGCCAAACAAGCACAACAGCATGATCTGCACGCCACTGACTATCATGTCCAAGAGATTGAGGAGCTCAAAGCGCCAGCATTGAGACTTGGCTTGTCCGATTAGCCACAATACGAAGATAGCCACGAGAAGGATGATCTGCCCGCCATAATTGTTGCTTGATATCACCGGCACCAGCGAGATCATGAAATTCCGCACATTCCACCAGAAGCCAAACATGACGCAGTCGGGTTGCATCCTTCCGGACAGGAAGCGGACAGCGGTGGTGAACCCGACACCGTACTTCACCGAGAGGGCACCGAACCCGAATGAGGCGATCCCTGTGAAGGTCAGATAAGTGACCGGATAGCAGAGGATGGCAATCACGCTCAATACCAACAGAGTGTTGTGCTCTCCGCCCTCCCAGCACACCATGGCACCGAATGCTTGGAGAATTGCTTTCCCGTTGGGATTGGCTTTGCAGCGAAACCCCTCCAAACTCATCAGGCTCACCGAGACGAACAACGCGGACATCAAAAATCCTGCAGTATTGAGGATCGCAGAACGGTTGAAAGAGGCATACCGCTTCAACTTCGGAACGTGCTGCAGGAGGAAGGACCCCGTGACCACCACCAAGAGCAGGACAGGGAAGGCAACAAGCTTGAACACATACTCAGCTGTGAACGACTTTCGACCCATCACACAAGAGAATGACAAGAAGTCCATGTCGAGCGAGAGGATGCCAAAGTTAGGGAGGAACGAGCTCATGGGCGGACCCCAAACAGCGTTTAGCGTTCCGTAGACACCGAAGGTGAGTACCACCGTGGCCGCCATGCCGCAGAAGTAGACCGCCGTCATGACTGTCTTGTTACCCTTGACCATTGGCCAATTTGTCATCACGTGCATGAAGGTGACGCACAAGCAGCCTGCGAGACCGCCGAGGAAGAGAAACAGCGGACCGCTTGAGCCTGTGCATGCAGTGCACTTGCCACCCCTCCATTCTTCTCCAGGCAGGCAACTTGAACACACGAGGTCGACCCGTCCACCTTCACACGTCTCTGGTTCACCTCCCAGGCAGATGTCCTCCGACAGGCATTTGTAGACCGAAAGAGGGTCATCATACGTCGTGTAGTAGCCTGCTTTGACCTGAGGATAGGGCGCGTCGACGGAGTAGGACGTAGTGTTCCCGCTGTAGAAGTTGGCCATGCCACTCCCAACCGCGCAAGTCATGCCCTCTGGGCAAGCCTCGCAGGTGCCGAAGACGTTGCGGTAGGTGCCTGCCTCGCAGACGCAGTCTTCGAGCTTCTCTGCTGCCATGAATGCCGTCGTGAGCCCTGGCGGGCAGGAGAGGCACGCCGAGTCAGAAGTGGTCCTGTATGTGCCAAGTCCACAGCGTAGGCAGGCTGAAGAGCCCGCGTCCTCTGTCTGGTGGCCAGCGCCGCAAGCATCGCACCTGCCAGCACCTGGAGCAGCTGCAATGTAGTTCTTGGGGCAGGCTGTGCAGTTCGTTGAGCCTTCTTCCGCGAACGTCCCTGGCAAACAGAAGTCGCAGGCCGACTGTCCGGCAATGGAAGTAACCGCGCCGGCCTGGCATTTTCTGCACTTCGTCGGAGTGTTCAACTGCTTGAAATAGCCTGGAATGCAGTCGTTGCAGCTGTAGCGAATCTTTGGGTTGCCGAACTGGTTCAGGTACTCCTCCTCGAAGAGTTCGGTTCCGTTGAAGCAGACCTCTGGCGCGACGGGAACGTAATCCGCCTGAGCATTCCCTTTTTGCGCAATCCGTTGCTCCATCCGGTTCCTGAGGTTGGCGTTGATGGCAACGTAGCCGACATCGGAGACTGACTTCTGACCAGCATTAGTGAAGCCGTACTGCATGAAAGCTTGTGCGCGGTCCCAGGCTTCATTGTCCACGTTCATGTATAAGCTGCGCCGGAAGACTGCGTAGGACCCATCTGTGATGGAGTAGGACGAGGGCTCAATCTTCGCATCCAGCGTGTCCTTGACACCCTTCACCTTGTCCTGAGCAATCCGAGCTACAGTCAGCGTGGCGGAATTCTGAGCAAAGTAGGCGAAGCCGAAGTAGGCCACACCACCGTAGTCGGTAAGGGTCCATTCCAGGATCTTCTCGTCGATTTCTGACTCCATGTAGCAGTTGACAGGACGCTGTGTCTGTATGAAGTTTTCAATGTCGGCCTGTGCCGTCAACGCTTCGAGGTCCTGGTTCAGGGTATGGTCGCAGGTAGGGAAGTTCTCCGTGTCCTCGAAGCCATCCAGAACCACCTCAGCGAAGAAATCGTGAGTGCCGGATGCCGAGCCGGGGCCGTAGATGTTGATGGGAGTCTCCTCACACTGCGGGCTCAGGTCACTCCATTCCTTGATGCCGTCACCATCGTTGTTAGGAAGCACCGAAGTCATGTCCAGCCCGGCTGCGGCAAGCTGCGCATCCGTCATATCCGTGAACATCCACCGGAGCTGCGCCAGAGTGAGGCCGCCCATGGTGGGGTCAGTGACGCAATTGTGGCCGGCGCTGTTCTTGGCCACGACAACGCCAAGACCATCGATGCCCACGATGATCTGTGTCACTCGCTGCTTGGATGCAAGACACTCCAACGTGTAGCCATCATCCAACCGTAACGCTTCAGAAGTTCTCCAATCTCTTGACATGTCGCCAATATCCACGTGGGTGGGGTCCGTGCGGTTGGCGCAAAGGCGGCGAGCCCCCGTGCTGGAACCACCTCCTTCCACGATCAAGTTGTACAACGCCTGCATCTGTGCCGTTTGCGACCACGCATTGACTACTGGAAATACGGTGGACGAGCCCGCAATGCGTAGCGTCTCCTGCGCATTGGTCGCCGAGACTGCGGCAGCGAAGGCAAGCAAGACGCAGGAAGCCATGACTCCTTCTGCCTGGGGGCTGCGGGCTGCCACTGAGTCTGATACGCTTGAGCCAGGGTTCAGAAAGTCAGGCGGAAAGGAGCGAACTGATGCATGCCCTATAACGACGTGTGTCAGTTGCATACCTGAGGGCTCAGGCCAGCAAGCCGCGCAAAGTTTGCGCTTCGAAGAAGGATCCTGAGGTCCATCCCTGGCCAGAACTCAGCTTGCAGAAAGCATCCGCCCGGTCAGCGAGACAAGAAGGAAAGAGAAAAGAGCATTCCTAGACCCTCCATCTACCCTCTAGTGGACCCTAAATACCCTTAATTTGGGACCATATACCCCTATTTGAGGGTACTTGGAGGGTCCTGGTTTTTGGGAAGAGACCCTAGCTACAAGGAGACCCTTCCTCCACTGAGATGCGCTGCTAACGAAGGCCGTAAGGCCAGGGGTTCAGCTTCATTGAAGCTGCACGACCCAGCTCTTGAAGCGGTGCGGAAAAAGTCCCAGGTGTGATGGCTGCCAGATACCGCAGTGGACAGTCAGAGCATGAGGCAGCAACACGAGATCAAGGAAGCATCCCATTGAAGAGGTGCAGAGAGGGCGAGTTCTTCTGTTCAGGTTCGGCTATTGAACGGAGCAAGAAGTGTGCAGCCAAATCCCACCGTAGTTTGATGCAGGGAAGGCAATGAACTTCCCAGAGACATGCGACTTTTCTTGTCGCAACTTCTACATGTCGGACACGTTCCGAAGTGGCGGAGAGAATGACAGAACCTTAAACCCACAACCCTAAGTCTTAAGCCGAGCTTCTTTCATCTCCCGGCAACCACGCACGGAAGCAGAAGCATCCACAGGAAAGAAAGAGCTGTGTAGCTTTTGAGGGGCTTGGCACGCGCCATCGGACACTTCAAGCCTAAACCCCAAACCCTAAACCCTAAACCGCTCGACAGGTCCGACAGGCGGGGTCGAGTTTAGGGCCTTCCGTAGTCGACCGTTTTCCTTAGCAGCGAGGGTTTCGACTCGGACAACTGCGTTTAGGCTTTCGGGTTCAACGTGCTGCAGGCGCCATTTCGGTCTGAATCAAGTTCAAACGGACTCGTGCTTCGAGCTAAGACTAGACACAGCTTTCTGCGCTTGCCTCGGAGAGCAGGTCAGCAGCGAAAACGAACCTGCCGTCGCATGCGGCACGTGGTCATCGTACTGCCACCGCCACATCACTACAGTTCTTTAGTAGAAGGGCCAGGCGCGCTGCCACAAGCGCTGATATGATTTTGCAATATTTTGCAGTGTCACAGGATTCGACTAGCACTATTACGCAATGTAGTTTCTGCGAGTGCAAACCCGTCTCTGCCCTCTAGCACGAGGCCGCAGCCCAGAGTCATCCTTGCACTCCACTGGTCCTGGCAGACAACTCGGGACAGAGCCATTCTCATGTTGTAACAGAATGACAGTAGCTGGGGCGGCGGCTCGAAAGACGAGAGCAAGACCAACAATAATCAACAGCTATCGCGCTGGTCTACTTGCTATGCTGGAGTAGAAATGAATGCACGCAGCATTACCAGCCATCATTGTCGCCGTGGCAGAAAGCACTTTTGCCTTTCAGCACATGGGCATAATTCGGCATATGTTATCCATCTATAGTGCTGCATCAGCCTAGTGCAGGAGGAAACGCTGCAAAGCCATGTTCGCACGACAGCAAAATGGTCTGCTTGAAACTAGATGTCAAAGTTGCGCAAGCTTTCGTAGACAGTATGTACACATGAACCTATTCCAGTTTGTGGACAGTCCTGCAAGTTCCCCGCGAACGAGCTGAGGCTTGCGGATGCTCGCTTGCCTGTGCAGCCAATGCATCTGTTCTGTGCGACCACCATGTCCTCCTTGTTCTGCCACGCACACAAAATCCATGCCGTTGACTGCCCCTTGACCTTGTAGAGGTCGACGTAGCTGTCTGCACTACAAAATGTCCAGTAAGTCTGCGAGTCAGGGACGATCCAGGTATTTAGCTCGGATCCTTTCTGGGGCTTGAAATGTGCTCACAGATTGAGGACATCTGACCACATCACATCAGACAAACTTCAAAATCAGCTTAGTCACTCCAGCATGCGGTCTGCCCGCGCCTTGGTGCTGATGGCATGGCACATCTGCTCTACTCTTTAGTCGCACTTTGCCCAACAACTCCTAAGAGGCAATTTGCGACGTCTCTTCGGGACGACTGTCCCACCAAAACTGGAATCTCGTCTATACGCTCTACAATACACGGCACGACGTGAGCATCTACATTTCAGGACACGAAAGGTTCCCAAGGTCAGACTCTCCGAGTCAGAGTGCCTGCTGAGTGTAGGCCCGACACGAGGACCAGAAATCACCACAATCAAAACATCGTCGTATCGTCAGCGGCGACTGCCCCGTTGCGTGAATTGAATTACGCTCTCGACATGCAACAGAGCCATAACCGTGTGAAGTGTAAGGACAACGTGGGCGTCCGTGAAATCCGTGGAGTCGTTAGGTCCCACGCATCGTAGCGCACGACCACCGCACGTGGAGAGATGACGGCCTTTGACAAACGCAGTATGTATGTATGCATGCATAGATGAACGCATGCATGTATGGACGCCTGCCTGCCTGCCTGCCTGCCTGCCTGCCTGCCTGCCTGCCTGCCTGCCTGCCTGCCTGCCTGCCTGGGTGGGTGGGTGGGTGGGTGGGTGGGGGGGTGTGGGGGTGGGGGTGGGTGTGGGGGTGGG